CTAATGTATAAAAAAATATCTTCAAAGTTAATTGTTTTACATATATATTCATTTAATCGCATAACTGTCAAGTTTTGTATGAATTTTGGAAAACCTGAAAGTAAATTTAAAAAAAAAAGTCAAGTCTAGGATATTGGGACATTTCCACAAAGAGGAAGTCTAACTTTTTTTTTATGAAAAACTCACCACTTATCTGATCACTTGAACTAAATATATACTATTACTAGTTAAAATCTGTAGTCATCAAAATATGAGTAGAAATTAATCTAAAAAAAATCAAACATGGTCACTAAACAAACAAGTGCTTATTGTTCCTTAGTTTTTGTTTCAGAAAAACTATTAAATATTGTAAGATATAACCTTCTCCTTCATTGTTGAATCCATACGCCTTGATTACTTCCTGTTGAATCTGAGTGGCCACAGGAAGCACGAGCTGCAGCATCTTCCCCATGTCGTTACAGGCGCTCTCCCGAGCCTCATCCATTCGTGCAGCGTTCTCTGGCACTGAAAAGGCCTGGATCACTTCACTCAGCACCACTGGAGAACAAAACAAGCATCTGTGGTCACTTTGCAAATGAATACCTTCACAACTGCCTCGATCAGTAGCTACCTGACAGACTGCAATTTATATAACTACCTTATTCGATTTACTCTACACCTCAGGCTTCAAGGTTAATTTTGTTTTCTGTCATTGTCGGAAAGGAGCAGATTAATCTACAGTTGTGGATATGATGGGGATCATTTTGAGATGCATTATGAGAAACTAAAAAAAAAAAATGTTAAGTTAATTAGCAACTCTAAGGTTTGCTCTGGTTAGTTGCATGTTTATCATGGCATTATGATCTAAAAGCATTCATTCCTGGGCCTACCCTTTTTCTAACTGCTTCAAATAGATGAGAGCCCAGCAACCTTTCTGCAAGGATTAAGCAAGTGCTTAACAACAATATCCAACAAATCATATGTTGGATCAGCAGCAGAACTATTCATTCATCTTTTATACCTGCTTATTCCTTCCAGGTTTGCAGGCTTTGATGGACTTGGAAAGACTTATTCAGCTATTAAATACTAACTTGAAGGGATAGGGGTTATTTGTGCAGTCACATCCATGGGAGTGAATACTTTTGTAAAACATGCAAACGGAGAGGGCATAACGTCTCAGGAGCAACATTTTTAATCATACTGTATATTTCTGCAGACGATTGGTTATGTTAATAAAACTTCAATCATTAGGAAGCTTAGGAAAATATACAGGATGGATGACTAAAGAGAGTGATGACTGCTTATCTAGCCTCTTTTAAACTATTTTGTTTGCTACGTTGGAGGGAAATGTTCCTCTCACCTCTGGTTTGTTCAACGGTCAGTGTGGGTTGTTGGGCTGGAGCCGAAGCCATGATGTCTACGGTGGAAAGGGACAAAACACAATAACAACCAGTCCATTACAAATGTATCTCTGTTCAGAACTGGCGAACTATAAAGAGTTAAATGTAGCGTTTTTAACCGTTCTAGTCAAGAAAACGAGAATAATGTACAAATATTATGACAAAACACGTAAAAAGACACTATGCATAAAGAATAGTATGTGTATTGGTGAATCGACATTATTTATAAGTTATAATATTAATTCATCTAACAGAGTCCTAAGCAATGGCAACAGAAAGCAACGACAAATATATATGTTCACAAGACGGAATAATCTAAAAATACGAAACATTTAAGGTGCAAGTTCTCACCACTGATGAAAACACCAGCCCAGAAAGCTAGCAACAAACAACCCTAAGGAAATGTCGTAAATTGACCTAAACCAACAAATTTACGACAGTTAGCGACAGGACCTCCGTTTTACAGTACATGTCAACGTAATACGTAAATATACCTCGAAAAGCTTGCAACCTTGTGAAATCACGATTAGTTTCTTAAATTGAAAGACAGTCAGGCGTTTGAATTTGAGTTTTTTTGTGTGCCTCTTTTATTTATGACATAATTCTAGTGACGAGACAAAGAGGTGTTCTTCCCAGTTTATGGTGAAGAAGCTGCTTTTCCACGTTGAACTTGGAGTTACGCATATGGAGCAGAAGCTCGCAGAGTTTAGAGCCCGAAGACAGGCGGAAAAAGGCATGAAAAAGCCCGAACCTGCTGGTCCTCAGCCCGGAGATCAGAGAGGAGGAGGTCCTGCTGTTCAGCCTGACAGCAGTCATCAACCAAAGGAGCCCGAAACCAGCCAAGCTGCAATCAGCAGCTCTCAAGACAGGGTAAAAGATCATACAAACACATTAGCACAGTGAATATTGATTTTAATGAGACATTGTTAAAAAAATGCGGGTAACTCAGTCCGAATTACAATAGATTAGTTGCATTCTAAAGGTTTATGCAGGTGTAAGTAAATATGCAAACATTATTTTAAATCTGCATATAAAATACAATGTCAGAATCATTCAAAAATATATGTCACATTAAAGATAGACGTAAAGATCTACTTCTTTAAGAACCTGAACCCAGGATATATGTTTAATAAATAATATCTTAGTCAACTTCTATGAATTCCCTGTCAATGTCTTAGTCTTCCATTTGTATTCAGGTGTACTATTACACAAAAGTATTTACACCTCTTAAACTTTTTCAACTTAAGCCTAGTCTTTTGAATATTTCAATTGTTGCTTTGTCTAATAAACAAACACAAATCGGTGCATAAGTGAAATGGAAAGCAAATTCTACATGGTTTTAAGAACATTTACACTTGAAAACCTATAAAATCTCATTGGTATTCAACAAACCTTAGCCACCTTTTGTTTCATTTTCTGTTTCAAGTCTGTTGGGAGTGCATTCCTATCAGAATCACATGTCTAGAGACTGAAGTTCTTTTTTTCCTTTATAACCTGGCCCATGCTCAGTCAGGTTAAATGGAGAGGTTTTGTAAATAATCAATTTTAAAGTTTCTCCAGAGATCATATTCTTTCCTCTTCACAATTCTACACTTTTGCACAAGTGACCAACTTTATGTTGCTCTAGAACATTAATGGAAATAATTTTGTGTTTATGTAACTGTATAAGAAAAACTTCAAGTTTAAAAGTACATAACACTGTTTGTGGCATATGTGTAAACAGTTACCATAATGTTCATCTTAGTATTTGTATACTACTGTACGACGTTTTCAATTAGCTTATATTCTGTAATCCTGGGAGCCGCTGACCTTCCGTCATGTGTCCTGCAGGACTGTAGAGACTGGCTGCTAGACAGCACTCTGGGACGATGGTTTGCTTCAAGACAGCTGGTCCTCTCCAACATTATGCTGCTCAAAGTGCTGCTGTGGGTGGTTCTGCTGGGTCTTTTTGTCGAACTGGAATTCGGACTGCCTTTCTTCATCATCTCCCTGTTCTACTGGCTCTATGAAGGACTGCGCAGCCCAGAACCTAGAAAGCCAGGAGAACTGAGTGCTTACTCTGTCTTCAACCCAGACTGTCAGCCTCTCCTTGGCTCACTCACTGCTGAGCAGCTGGAGGGGGAGATGGGCTACAGACCTCTGGCCAACAGATAAACCGCTTGTCACTTGCATAACTGAAGGGGATAATTCGAGATCTTTGTTGTTTGGGAAAATGATTATGAACTGTATTTCTTATGTATCTATTGCACATTAAATTAACGCTGGCATACTTATTGCTTTGTTCCCTTCTATGCTGCAACACTTTTTATAGGAACCTCAGATGTAAATGTATATAAAACCTTTATCTACATTGGTCTTCTCACTGTTTGCCTTTCAAACATTAAATACCTTGATTGCTGAAACTTCCCTAAATGCCAGGGATAATTTGGGGACTACTCTTATTATTATTATTATTATTATTATTATTATTATTATATTTTTTTGACCACAGTTTGTTTTTAGTTCTGTTTGTTTTAATTTTCAATCAGCTTTATTTGCCAAGTTTGTGCTCGCAAACAAGGAGTTTGACTTTGGTTCCACTTTGGTCTCAATGTTCAGACATTTCAAATTTAAACATGTCAAATTTGGAGGACAATACATTGTTTTTGTTCTTTTATTTTCAAATATGGATATGTACTATTTTTTGTAAAAGAAGACGATGGATTATTGAAGTATTGAATTATGCACCCTGGGAAATTATGTGCCCCATCCATCAATAAATGATTCTTTTCAACATAACCGACCTTAAATAAGTCTTATACAAATGCTAAATGCTAGACCCTGACAGTGATGCTTTACTATCTCAAAAAATATAAAAAGGTATGAAGAAATGTTTCAGTTTCCAGACTTTACTGCTCATTGCCTAATCTGGAAGATGAACAAAAAGGAATTTCTATACACAGTTGTACAGAAAGTGAATAAAGATCACATTCTTTTGACTTATTTTTTTAAGCACGGTTTATTTTTTTACTGTATTTGGTAGATTTTTTTAAGGAATAAGGTATGTACTTATCTGTCAAGAAGAAATAACAATGTTGCAATAATTTCATGACACACATTGTTTTCAAATGTATGAAGAATATGTAATTTAATGGCATAATTTTTTGGTTATTTTCCTGACTTCAATATTTGACCTATTTTTTGGTTGCTAACTGAGAACCCATATATATTTTCTATTAAAAAAATTAAAAAAGGTGAATTTCACAGTTTTTAGAATCTGCACCTTGTTGTGAGGTGAGGATTTTAAAATGATCCCTGTGGTGATTCAAATTCAATTAAATGCTTTGCTTTAAATAATCTGTATTCAAGTCCAGATTTGAGATGTTTAGAGTTTGAAAATAGATTTTAACCCTGATTTTAGATTTTGCAGCTGCAAAAGATAAACCTGTGCAATTCACCACACGGTGTGTTAGAAGCATATTACTGTTTCCTAATTTGTGGAACAAAAAGATAAAACCTATGTTCTCAGATGTACAGCGTTAAAAAACTGATGCTCGTTCTGATCCGCACTCCTTACCAGTTGGTGGCGGTAAAGTACCGTAATGCTGTTTGCCAGGTGTCATTAAAGACCGCAATAAGAGGGAGAAGAAGATAGTTCACTCCAATCTACTTCCGCGTTGGTCCAAATGCAGCTCTACAAGTACATGTTTACCTTTCACTTGAAAATGTGTTACTGAAAGATTTGCAATATACTTAGTTACAACAATTAACTTTTTAAAAGCTTGTTAAAGGCCTCCCCCTGGTCTACCGTAGTTCACATTAAGCCGTTGCATTGCTGGGGGACTCAAAGTACAGTTAACTGTCCGTTTCCAGTCAAAGATCTGATGCATTCATAAAACTGAGGTGCGCCAACTACTTCTATTTTCTTCACCAGTAAGTAATGACCCCGTTACGAAACACAATCTATAATAATAGTTTCGTTTATTCTAAATATTTCCAATTTAGTATTTCTCGAATGGAAGCTAGTAACTTTCACTGATAGCTATGGAGTTTACATGGTTAACCAGTTAGCTGAACTAACAGATCTAGAATCCCAGATTAAGAACCCGTTCTCAAACTGTGCCGTTTTCAGAGGAAACATTCGGTTGTTTCATGTAAATGTACCGTACAAACACAACAAAACTCTTCCATTTTCACCAGAAATTGTTGTCGTGTAAACGGGGCCTAACTGTCTAATCTATACATCTAAAGTTAACGAATGAAAACTGGTTTGTAGTGCTGATACAAGCACTAGCATGCAACTAGTATTTGGTTCATTTGGTTGTATTGTTTGCATAAATGCAATCCGTCATGTGGGCCTATTTGTTAGGTAATGACCATATCTGTGTGGTTAGAGATATTGCCTTCAGACAACAAACAGTTGTATAGATAAATGTTTATTAGAGCAGGATCAATGTTCAACAGAGAAAATAATCACAAGCAGTTATGAGGTGTTTGAATACCCCATGCTTGCCCAATTTACAGACTTTTGGTATATAAGAAATGGCTGTTTGTTAGATGCTAAGGTTTCTTTTCCTCTTCAATGGCACTGCTTACTTAAGTATTTTTTTAATAAATTTTTGCCATTACTTCTGCTATATAGCTGTCTGAAGGTGTACTAAAATTTCTGTTTTTCATGATAAAATATTCAAATACCAAGCAAAACTATTCAGAATATGTCTCATCTCTGTTTCCTTACTGTTTTCTAGCGATCGACTAATTAAAAATGTCTGGCAATCCTGCTGTGGTTATGCGGCTGGTGGCGTCCGCCTACTCAGTCGCTGAAAAGGCCGGGGCCATAGTAAGGAACGTGCTTCACAGTAGAGAGCTTGGCATTGTTGAAAAGGTGCAGCATCAGATCAGTAGGAAAAAAAAACATATTTTCTTTAGCAGAAATGAATTAATTTTAAGCATTTATGACGAATATATATTTGCACCTTTTGCACAGACAGGAGCCAACGATCTGCAGACTCTCGCAGACCGACTTGCACAGAAAAGCATCTGTGCTTCGCTGTCCAGACGTTTCCCCAAGGTCACCATCATTGGAGAGGAGGTAACTGGATGTACAGCTTCATTTAGAAAACATGCACTGGTCAGACTAAATCAGCAGCTCAGAATGTCTGTTAATTACCCGATTACAGGATCTCCCATGTGAGGAGGTCCAGGAGGATATGATTGAGAATGGCCAGGCAGAGGAAATCCTTCAGAAGAGCTGTCCAAAAGAGTATGAAGCACTAAAAGAAGAAGAGGTAGCTACAAACAAATAAATAATGAAATCCTTTTTATGACTATTATTGTTATTGTGCATACATTTGAAAGCCTTATCCATAAGTGTGAACATGCTTAATTGGAATATGTTTGTGTTAATCTCAGCTAGTTGTTTGGGTTGATCCCCTTGATGGCACCAAAGAATACACTGAAGGTAAGGCATGTGTTCAAAAAAATCTGTGCTCTCAACTTGAGCTTTCAGTTTTCTTAATAATATGATACAGCTTGCAATGATATATAGCAAATACATAGTACCACAGCTTGCACCTAAGCTTAACCTTTCAGCATGGATTTCATGTTTGCTTTTGTTGCAGATTAGTCTTTGTGCACCAGTTTGTTGGCTGGTTTTTGGTTTCCTTTCCCTGCTTCACCGTCACTTTTACAGTGTTTGTGTTCCTCCTTTTGTGCGTCCCTGGGCTTTTCTCCTATCGTCCTCTTTCTTGTCCTCTCTTTGCTGCCTTCAGCCTCAAGTTGTCTCCATCTACAAGCTGTTGACCAGAAACCACACAAAGAGTTGGACAAGACTCACAGCACAGCTATCCGTACGGCAGTGTAGACAGAGCACTTTTAATGGCCACTTCAGAATTATTTGCCAGTGATAGAAAGGGTGATAGAATAGCTTATTTTCTTCAAATAACATTCCTCCTGTTTCTGGACTTAGGGCTACTGGACAACGTGACAGTTCTTATTGGCATTGCATATGGAGGCAGAGCAATTGCAGGCGTCATCAACCAGCCATTCTACAATTACCAGGTTCAAACCAAACTGCAAATTGTCCGCAGCTTTGCTTGAAAAGATGCCATCAGTAGGTTATTTTGACGGTTTTCTCTCCAGCTTGGATCAGGAGCTGTTTTGGGGAGAACAATATGGGGAGTTCTCGGATTGGGTGCCTTCGGGTTCCAGCTGCAGGAAGTTCCAGCCGATAAGCGAATTGTCACCACCACCCGTTCCCACAGCAACAAGACGGTAACGGACTGCGTGAACGCCATGGAGCCTCATGACGTTATAAGAGTCGGGGGTGCTGGAAACAAGGTGAGGTGGATTTGGAGCCACAGTGCTTTTACTACACTAATAAAACTTTTAGATGTGGGCTGTATTTTAAGCACTCCTGTTCATTGACTCCACACTTTGCAGATAATCCAGCTTATTGAAGGGAAAGCATCTGCTTATGTGTTTGCCAGTCCAGGCTGCAAGAAATGGGATACATGTGGTCCTGAGGCAATCCTGCATGCCGTCGGAGGTAAAACTCTTAAAGTTTAAGGAATGAAAAAAGGTTTATCTTTCACCAGATTGACTCTTAAGGTGAAATGATATCAACTTTTTTTTTGTTTTTCCTCATGCAGGAAAACTGACTGACATGTTTGGGAATCCTTACCATTATAATGCAGAGATAAAGCACATGAACTCTGCTGGGGTTCTCGCTACACTACGCAACCATGATTACTACGTCAGCAGAGTGCCACAGTCTGTGCTGCAAGCGCTGAAGTCAGATTGAGTTCGGTCATGATGTGCCTCTGGGGCAGAGATGGTCTTGGTCTTTATTTGTGTATTAAATTGCTATGACACTGTTTATTACTTGTTATTGTTGCAGTAATCTCATTCTTTTTGACAAGTGTCATTATTTAAATCATATATTAATTGTTATTAACAATTCAGCAGGAAAAGCTAGCCATCTAACCAACCTGGCCTTAAGTGAAAAAGTAGCTGGTTCCAACAGCTGGTTGTGGAACAGTTATAGCAAGAACCTCCATCATATGTTTGCAGTAATTTGGCAATTTATCTTTTATATTTTGGTGAGGGAATCTTAGCTGGACAAAACATACTGACTTCACTCCTGTGACTAAAACTTTTTTTTTTCTGATGGCATTATTATTGCCTGAGAAAATATATTTTTGTAATATGTTTTTTGCTGCATTTGGTTGCAGAAAACATTCACCAACTGCTGCTTTCCAAATAAATTATAGTAACCAGAGCAACATGTAGAGGAAAAAGATTCAAGTTTAAAATGTTAACAGACTTAATTATTTTAATCTAACATTTTAATAAACAGTAAAGTCATAAAAGGTGCCAAAATTAACTCCTTAAAACTTGCAAATATTTGATTGTTGCCTTTTTTGTAAATATGAATCCGTTTTTTTTTTTTTTTGAGAATTTATCAGTTTGTGAGCCTTTTATAACACCTGATTAAAATAGACAAATACTTGATTACATTTAGGAATATATTTTGTATTTTAATCAGGTAAATATAGTTAGTCATTTTTTCTGATGTATTTAACAGTAAACAAATTTACACAAATATTTGTTTTCCTCTTATTTGTCATAAATGCCAAATAAAAAACAGATTTCAACATGACTGTTGGTGTGCTTTCTTGTGTTTTCAGTCAGCACAAAAATATAAAGCTTAATAACAGAAAAGATTTTTTAATCTGTTTTTTTTATATAAATGAAAAAATAATTTTATAAATTTATGTAAATTTATACTGTTCTAGATTATACTACAGCAGGTTATGATTTTTAGATATTCATTTGTAGATCAGCTTTGCCCATTAGTTTGTGTCTTGGTCAACACAAATATTAAAATACAAAGTTAATATTATCTAAAGATGTTGATACCGCTTTTTAACGAAGAACCAACTCAAACTTTGCAGGTTAAAGAAAAATAAAACCCAACACAGTTTTGTAGGTCAGTCAAAATTAAAGATTTTTATTTCATTAATAAATAAATGTGACAGTGGTAAAATACAAAACGTATACATTTATGCAAGTTAATTACATCAGTGCGCAAAAAGAATGACTTAATGCTTAGTTACCAACCTTAAGACAAGCGGAGCAACCAGATGGAACAGACAGTAGCTTAACCGCTGCTGGCGAAAGCCACCCAGCGAGCCCCGTAATCTTATTGCCAAATTAGGAAACCATTATGAGGGTTGTTATTTTTTCATATCCATAAACAATATAACTTTAAAACCCAGTTTCTTTATTATGAGCAGCTTTTGCACTCTTCTTGCTTTTTTTGCGTTGAACGGCGGACATGATGAGCCAGCAGATAATGATGCCTGCCAGTAAACTCACAAATCCCACAACCACTGGCACCCACACAGGGATGGGAGTGGAACACTTTGGCAGTATGGTGGCACTGATGGTGCTGGTGGTGATGCTGCCTGGATCAACAGTAGTCTTGGGGGGTGCCGCTTGGCTGTTAGCTTTAGTGAAGATAAAAGGAGACGCCTGCAGGGAAAGGTGAAATTATTATACAATGATAAAAAAATTATTAGATAAGACACATCTGAGACAGATCGAAGAAGAAGCTATGAGAATCGTGCAACTGTTACATTGAGGGGGAAAAAAAAAATCAAAGTACATTAGAGTAAAATACTAATACAGAATTATCCTATAGGATGAAGTTTCAGTCAGAAATGTTTGTATGCTCTGCATCACCACGATCAAGTCCAGGCTTTTACTCCAAACATAAAGATCTACATATAACCCCACTCAGATTTGGATGACAATCTCTTAGAAAGTTACCTTCAACCACACAGTTTCTGTAGCCATTAGCAAGCTTTTGGCATAATTTTTCCTGGATATTTGACTGTACTTATCAGAAACAATGGAGTTAATTCATGGCTATGTCTAGAAAGGATTTATGTGCAAGAAAATGTAGCCTTGAACCTTTGTGCTTCTTTAATATCCAATCAGTGCTTTAAAACTACATAAAGGACAAAGTGCTGAACACAAATATAAAATCTATTAAAATCAACAGTATTCAGGAGATCTTTTTCTGTATGTTTCTTAAATAATAAACTTTTACAAACAGTGGGAATCCTGCACAAATCTGTGGGAGATCTATAAATACCTCAGAGGGGCAGTGAATCTTGGCACGGTCGTGTGTAAAGTTGTTGTAGGCTTGCTTCCTGCCAACCGGCTCCAGCTGGAACAGGAAAAAATTACATATATTGCTCTTAAAAAAAAAGTGAAGTGAATTCACTATACCCATGTTTGGTTCACAAGTGCAGAAAGCTCACCATGTTGTTCCACAGTGCGATGGCCATCTCTGCATGAGCCCGTTCACTCAGGTGGAAACAATCGGCAGAGAAGAAACTGGTGTCTACCTCGCCCAGCTGGTGAAAATCAGTTATGTCCAACATTATTTGGTTTTTGACCAGTTAATTTTACTTCTTACGTTGTATTAGTTCAGAGACTTACTCCAGTTTGAGGGATGAAGGAATAGTGGAAAAAGGGTTGCAACACAACAGCAAAGTCTTCTTTTCCATCATAACGATCTCCAGAAATTAGATACTCGATCTCAGTCTGGAAAACCAAAGTTCTTTTGGTCATCGTCATGTTGGAAAATAATACAAATATTTTTTTTTTTAGAAAACACAGCTTTTATCTATTACCTGGTAATTTCGATTGATTCGTTTCAGTTCCTCAATCTCTGGAGCGTTGTTTGCTGGATTGATAACGCAGTGACAGCTGACCCTGTAAAAAAAAAAACATCCTATGTTTCTTTTGGCACAAAAGATAATTCATTCTACAGCTGGTCAACAGCTACTGAAGATCAAACAATACTTTACAAAACAATATATCTTTAAATAACACTTCATGGACCTTTTTATAAAGAGATGGGAAGCTTTCAATCAGTGTCAGAGCAGCTGATTGACGAATGTCAAATAGTCTGTTTCATTCAAAGAACTGTGATCTGTTAAAGTGTGGGTTTGTGGAACAAACAGAAAGCATTCCTTAAGACCTTAAGAAAATTCTTCATCACACTTAGTAAGTCCAAACACTATTTCCAAAAAATTTTGAACTCCCTCGACCCAAATTGAGAGTTTCTGACAGAGAGGTTTCAAGACACTTCAAGCTCTCCATAAAAGTCTTTGACCGATAAATAAGACTTAAAACGCAAAACATGTGCTTAGACAGTTTACAACAGCGAAGAATTTAAAGGAATGAATAAGAAAAGACCTGCTCCATGAAAATAAAAACCAAGAAAATAAACTATCACACAAGAACTGTCAGGGATGAATAAAGTCAATATCAATTTAGACTCCTGGCAATGCAAACAAAATGTTGTGAAAAGATGTAAAACAATTTGGAAAATTCAAACTGATAAAATAATAAGCAGTAATATTTTGCAGTTCATGGTGATCTATAAGCAAAATTAAATGTCTTTCATCCGCTGTCATTTAATAATATTTAACTACAGCCATTAAAGCCACAGGTTTTATGCATTTAAAGGTGAGAACCAACCTCTGCTGTAGTGAACAGCCCAGTGTGTCCTTTTTAACAGTTTTAAACACATCCACCTGCATAAGATCCACCAGATTCACCAACACCCTCGGTACCTAGAGCCCCCACAGCAGGAAATGGGAAGACAATTATAATTTACTTCATTGTAGGTGGGCACTTCACAACATATGTATTTTAGTTTTTAACCCTCACCTCTTCGTAAAGCATGTCCAAGGTTAGCATGAGATTGTTGCTAAAACTCTTTGGTGACAAATTATTCTGCAAAGAATTGAGTGAACAACGTGTTAAAACACCGTGATAAAGTGTTATTTATTCACCATGTGGAAAACTTACTTGATCGTAGCAGTAATTACAAAGATCTGTTGTTCCGATGAAAATTGTCACAAGTTTCCAGTCACTTTCGAAATTCACCTCCTGTGTTGAAAACATGCTAATTTTGAGGATGGAGAGCAGATCAGGGATGCAGAGAGTTTTAAAGGTCAGAGGAAAGTCTCACCGTGTTTTCTTTCATGGCCTTAATGAGAGCTTGGACTTGTGCAGGAAGCTCTCTGAGACAGAAAAGAGACGGCAGAAGTTATTAGCAAAATTAAACAGATTTACTTGGCTGGAGGAGCAAGAGAAAAAATGCATACAAGGACTTTGCTCCAGCAACAGCCATGTTGAAGCCCTTTTGCAGCTGTCCTTGTCCTTTGGAGAAACCCTTTAGATCCGGATTGAACTTCTTCAAGATATCTGGCAAAACGCAGTGAGAGAAAGTGAAGCAGGTGCAGGAAAATCTGAAGCTATTGTTCTTTTTTTCAAAACAATAGTTTTTCTCTGCACTGGATAGTCAAGAATATGACTGTGCTACTCTTTAATAAGACTACAATGGACTAAAATCTTCAGTTTTGTATTATAAATGTCCTACAAAATGCAAACTGAAAACAGCAGTTTTCAACAAACTCACTTGGTAGTGTTGTGACAGTCTCCAAAGTTTGATCCCCTCCAATGCTGCAGGACATAATGCAATAAAATATTATATGATTTGGCTAAAATGTAAATGTGAAAAGTTAATTAAAATGAATATATTACCTCCATGATACTCCTTTGTATTCTGTATTAAGATCAAGAATGCTATTTGATTTTGCACCAGTTCCTGCCTGTTGAGTGAGGAACGCAGAAAGTGAAGTAAGATTAAACACCAGTTCACAAAATCTATAATGCTGATCAAAAACAGAGTACAAAGTTCAAAAGTGCTGGAATTATTTTTTTTAAAAATCATAAATGTTGGCGATAATTAAATTTGGCATAAGTTAACGTTCTGTTTTCTATTTTTAAGTGTAGAATTGCAGATATCTGTGTTTTCCGGTACTTACTGTCAAAGAGTCTCCCAGTGCTGCCACCACCTGAATATCTGATGGTCTCAGCATGTGTACTAAGGACCAAAACAGATTAAATCAGTTAACAGACAAGAGAGAGAAATTCAGGCTTCAATTCAATAACAAAAAGCAGTCACAGTGATTTGCACTTAGATTAAAAAGAAAATTTACATCTGAAAAATCCTTCTGTAAACCATTACAGCATTAGAAAGAATAATCAAATGGATCCTGAGGGTAGGGTATGGTTAAGGTTAGGGTAGGGTTAGGGTTGGGGTTACTGATATGGACTGATATGTGATGACAGTCTCACCTGAAGTCGGTTGACTTTCAGAGGGAGCCAAGTTATTACATGAAAAATCACTTCCCCAATTCTGAGGAAAAGACACACACAATTAATATGTTTTTGCATTTGCCGTTTAAGAGAAGAAAACTGGATTACAAAACTATTGAAGTAAAAATTCATTAAAGACTTGATATAAAGAAATAGAGAGCTGCAGAGGACAAAGGCCTATGTTGCATCTCTATTTGTTGATCATTTACAACTTTTTCATTCAGTTGGAATGAACAGTTTCATTCATTTTTGATAAAAACAACATAAACATTATAAACTTACAGTAATAGGATCGGGTTTGGGGGAGGGTGCAGAATACATATAATCACTGTTCTTATATGTCCGAATAAAGGGGGAATCCTGAAGAGAGAGAGAGAGAGAAAACTGTTTGTAAAAATGTCAAGACCATAAACTATATTTCACAAACACTATTCAATTCAAAATGTACTTTTCTAATTTCAAGAGATTTATATGAAAAAATATTAACTTTCATACATTTGTTGAACATTTCAGTTCAAAAGGAGAATCAAAGTCCTGGCTGGAGGTTTTGCTTCCCAGAGGTTCCAGCTGTAATGGAAAAAAGGACAGTTGAGCAACATTTATGGATATTCATGATAAAGTACATTGTATGATTTTTTTATTTTCATTACAAAAGTACAAAAATGTGTGGTTTATTCACCATGTTGTTCCAAAGAGAACGAGCCATCACTGTTTGGGCTTTCTGGCTGAGATGAAAGCAGTCAGGGCTGAAGTAAGAGCGATCTGGACGGCCATCCTAAGGAAGATTAATTAAATCAAATCAAATTTAATATGCATTGACTCCCTTTTCATGTCTTAAACAGTTCTACCTAAATGATTTAAGAATTTCTGTTCAGTTTATGTTTCAGATTGTTTTTAAAACTGAGTCAAGGATATAAAGTTTTCCAGAATTATTGATGCCTTCAGTAAACATGTAGAAAGACAAAAAATAAAAAATAAAAAAATAAGAAAATCCATATTTTGTTGCAGTAATATGATCTCACAATAAATTTTGGGAAAATATAATCACCTTTATTATGGGTTCATTAATTTAATGGGAAACATATGCTTTTTTACATATTTTTTTTCCAGTGGAGGCATAACTTGTGAAATATATTCAAATTTAGGTAGGTATTTAATTTTCCAGCAGTACACTGAATTTGAAAATATTAAGGGTGTATTCAGACTAGGTAGTCCGGTAGATTCGGTTCGATTGGGGACTAAAATTGCAACATTTGTTACATTTTCAGAACTATAGTTCGCATTCACACTGCACTGTGTCAAACGACTAACTAACTAAAAAACCTGTTCCCCCCGTCGCCTGTGGGGGCGCTGCACCAAGAACTACTGAAAGAATCGACACAAAACCTCTGAAGAAGACCAGCGCAACTGGTCAGAAAAAGTAATCAAAAACGGAGCAGTGTCAGATTTTAGCGGTTGTAGGATTTCTTGATTGATATACATTACTGGTTTGGACATGTCTGTTAGCCGCTAACGCTAGCGACGTGACGCTCCTACAGGCGCCGTTACGACGCGGTGAGTCTGTCCACTAAACCAGGCTGTTCCAATGCGGGATGAATCACAAAAATGATCGCAGCGCCATTATTTCTTACCCGATTTCTATAAACATCGATTAAATTAAAGCTGGGAAAATTGCTGATGTTTGTAAGTATTCTCCCTTGATCTTTATCAGTTTGGTTTCCATCAAGATGCAAGAGAGGACTAAGCAAATTCCTCCATCCTATTTGATGATTATGTTCAAACAAATGAGGCAATTAGTTCAGTTTTTGTCATTTATTAAAGGTTTAAAAATTACAGCAGCTGCAGAGCGCCACAGCAAAGGGGATTTAAGCTGATAAAGAGGTGAAACGACTTTAAACCAGTTATATTCTGCTTTTCCTCGCTTTCTGTGTCGGCACGCAGACCCGTTGATGTGACAACCGTCACGAAATCTTCGTTAACCCGTAGAGCAGAGAGTAATATACGACCAGAATGTCCTGCACTGTTGCTGACTTAATGCTTTTGAAACGGTCTCTAGTCAGCTTGCATTCAGACAGGTTTTCTAACGTTTCAGAGTTCACTTCAACCGTTCCGAGACCTAGGTTTTCAGGCGGATCAGAGTTCGGTTTTTATGTCCGTTTTGGAATTCAAATTTGCATTCAGACCTTCCCAAAAACTCGGAATTCCTAGACAAACGGATTAGAGTCTGATTCAAGACTCCAATCCTGGGTTGGTCTGGAATCACCCTTACTTTAGTAACTTTAAAGCAAAATCAAGCAGAAGGAGCACACCACACTATCAAAATTAAATAATTTCATAATCTACTGAGTGATCAAGTATAGAACATTGTTTACAAATAAAAGACAGAATTTCATTACTAACTGGCAGTCTGGGCAAAGCGATGTCTCTGAGGAAAGGCTGAATGACCACAGTGAAGTCTGACTGGGTATCATACCGGCCAGACTCAATAAGTTCATGCAGAGAACGCTGGAAGTTAAAAGAAACAATAATAACCATCAGTGACAATGATCATCTTATTTAATCTGATCATTTTTGTACATCTTATTCTACCTGATATCCTCTGTTTACGGTTTCCAATATTTGAAGAGCTTCAGAGTTAGGCTCTGGCATTACCACACAAGGGCACAATATGCTGTCAAAGAAGAAGTAACACTGTGTTAATGGTTAGCTAATAACTAGATGTCTCAAAAGGAGAGTATAAGGAGAAACTCACTTTAGAAGCCATGTTGGACAATTCAGCGATGCGTCCATGTGCATTTCTCTGAGTGGAGTTATGTAAAGAGGCTCCACTAGGTTCACCAGAGCTCGGGGAACCTGAGAGAGATCAGCTTTGTTAGTTCTAATAGACATGCAACCATTGTGATGTGGAAACACCTTGTCAAATGAGTGGCACCTCTTTTTGGAGATAGTCCAAGCTTTCCTTGAGAAACCCTACGTAGTTTTCCACTGAGTAAAGGAGCTGTAAATGAAGAGAAAATGTGTTTCTTTACACACCATCAGAGATAACTTCATAGTTTTGTCTTCTTGCTTCCAAATTTGAGACTCACGCTATTTTCGCAGTATGCACAAAGGTCGTTTCCACCAATAAAGATAGTAATCAGCTTCCAGTCTGATTCAAAGTTGATATTCTGGAGAAAAGAACATGAAGAGAGAAAAAGAATTAACTTAGCTATTTTTATACCACTACATTAAATAATGTCAAAACTCAAAGTATTTTTCAAGCTCGAGTTGCTGTGTAGAATTACAAAAGATAAATGTAGACTTACGTCATTTTTCATCTTTGTTACCAGGGTACGCACTTGTGATGGTATATCCCTTTGAACAGAAATGCAAAATGCAATCATGTTTATCGCTAAACGATGTGATGTTATCCCACTAACGATTAAGTAACTTTTAATAAAAAATGGTAACTTGTTGCTAAAATTAACACCTGGAGAACTTACCTGCTCTTTGCACCAGGCACTGCCTGATTAAGGAAAGCTTGTGGATTATTCTGATCACCGACACCAAGCGAGTATCCCGTCACATTGTGGTTAAAATGTTTTAAAATGTCTGTAAAAACCAAATACTCTTTTAAAAAAGGAACATTTGATGCAAAATTGATATTTCTCAAAAATGAGTGATTACTAATGAAGCCATCAGAAATACGTACTGGGTAAAGTGGTAACAGTTGTGAGGTTTCCATCTCCACCAATGCTGAAAACAAACATAGGAAATTACTTTCAGAAAGTGCCCTTAACTTTATTTAATCAAAGAGTATGAAAAATAATAGTTAAGAGATGAAAACAAGATGCTGAAATAATAAAATTAGAGAGTCTTGACATACCACCAGGATAAACCTCGGTACTGACGTAAGACATCCAGGACGTTATTAGGGCTGGATCCGATGCCGTTCCCTGCCTGGCAGAAAGAATAGGAAAGTCCTTCAGTAAAATGTATGACCCAAAATGTCTAACAAACAAAATGACTCACTGTTAAAGAATCCCCCACAGCCGCCACAACTTTGATATCTGCAGGCCGGAGTTCATGGACTGGAAAATACAAAGAAAATGTCAGGCGATGTCAGATTGTGTTGTTCTAGATCCCACTGATAGAGCCTTTAGAGAGACCATACTGTTTACTGTCTGCTCACACTAATGAACAAATAGACCACTTTTTGACAACCATAGTTTCCTTTAGTAGGTAAGTTTTAGTTTAAATTATTAGAAATAAAAAAAAAACAAGGTTTGGTTTACAGGATACTAATGTGTGATGGCTCAAAAGTAAAGATTACCAAGAGCCAAATAAGACAAAAAACTATGAAAATATTTTATTTGAAACAAATTATATGTTAACACATAAAATTACCTGAAGTAGGAATGGAGGATGAAGGACTGCGGTCTTCACAGGGCAACTCTGTGCCTGTATGCTGATGATCAAGCACATATAAAATAACCACAATGAGATAAGACCCCTAATGCTTGGCAAACCATTTGGTTTGGTTGTGAATTATTCTTACAGTCTGAATGAAATGGTCTGCGTTTCTGTGGTGACTTGAAGGAGTGTTAAATTCTGTCCTCAGGAACGGTCGGTCCTTGTGAAGGAGGAACAGTTTGAGTAAGTGAGTAAATGAGTAAGAATTAACATCTCATGTCACTTGTAAATCTTTATATGACTGTTTGTGAAGACCTTTTGTATTTATACTCACCTCAGTGGGGCATTGCAATGTAGGGATGTTTTTCTTATGGTCTGGAATATGTTGGTCGACAATGGGCTGAAGCTGTGAAAAAAAAATAAACCACACACATAGATGTGACATCCTCTCAGAGTGACAGACTAAAAGTGTTGGTCAGTGTCACTTTCACAACTTCAGATCTCACCAGGTTTTTCCACAACTGTAGCATCAGTTCATCAGTTCGCTTTGAGGCTTCAAACTCTCCAATAGGCTTTCCAGTCTGCTAGCAAGAAAGATTTATACATATTCAAAAGATATGATCACCTTTCTCCTTTCTCTAAATATACAGGTATGTTAGATGCTGCTTGTCGGAGAAAGTGTAAATGTAAAACGATCACATCAGCAGCTTAAACTCACAGATGACAGGCCTCTGATGAGAGGGGTCGCCTGAAGAGTGACAGTGAAGTCATCTCTGTCTCTGTACCAATGTTTCTGTACCATCAGCTCATCCAGCAACTCCTGGAAAATAAAAACAGTTAGAAAAGAGCAGTTTGAAACTGTTCAGACTCCTTTTATCTTACAAGTCTTTAGCAAACATGACGTTATGCAACAGCTCACTCTACAACTAAGTAGATCTTATTAAAAAGGAAGAAGCTTTATTTGGTGGGAATGAGAAACCTACCTGCAGGGTGTGAGTCAGCACGGCTCTCTGAAGCTTGAGTTCTCCGTCGGTGTATGTGTGTGTGCATGGGCACATCCTGTAAGCAAAACACCTTTATTTACTCAACAAAACCTATCAAGCTACTAAGAACAGCCAAAAACATGCTCAAAATTCAGTTATTTCAAAATAGTAGGCTAAATACTCATAGCAGACAATTTTCTTTTTCCACTTTTCTCTTTGAGCCCAGTATTATCCCTTTCTGATTCTTTCTTTTGGTGCTGCTTACTTTGTCTGGAATGTGTTTAGTCCTCCATCCCACAATGCCACACTGACAATGATCTTTTTCAGCTGCAGCAAGTACAAGTAAAAGTACATTATACACATAATCACTGTCTCTTAAATTACTGCAAAGAGCAATGACACTATTTAATTTGCAACATACCTGAGAGTGGAGCAACTGCACAGCAATATCTACCTCCTCAACCAGCTGTTTGAGAAGAGACGAGATCTGCAGCAAAGACACAAGGATTGTTTTGTGAATAATTTCTTGACCGTTATGCTTTAGTCACTTTGAAGTTCTTTTTTCAGGAACTAATTACACATGAATAACATTTTTCCATCACATCTTGTGATTAAATCACGTCAAGGAAAGTTCAGGAGTGAGAGTTGGACTGTGAGATAATATCTGGACTCTGTAACTTTAAACCTCTGAAACAACACGCATTAAACTCTAATGAACAAGTGATTTTTATTAGTGGCCTTTGAAGTTTAGGCTCTAAGCAACTGATAGAGTCATGTTTATAATTTCCTCTTCAGTATCTAATTATGTTACTAGTTTGTCTGTTTTTGACTCAGTTGCATTGTGTACTTAAAGTCTTTATATTCTCTATTAAACATTAATTCCATGTAAATGTCAGTCATGTACAACACAGAATTAAACATGCACAACATGATACAATCTCATTCAACTGAGCTGTAAAGGTGCCAGTCAGGCATTCACCCTATTTGAAACTCTCCATCCATTTCTGATGCATGTTTAAACTCTAGATTGCCTGAGACAGATTTGCTGCTTTTTTCTCTTCTTCCCTTTTATCCAAATGCATTGTTTACCTGCTCCTGCTGCTCACAGGCACACAGTCGATCCAGCTGAACAAAGAGAAGCACCAACTTCCAGTCTTGATTCTCATCAGCGCCCTGCTGGAGGAAATCAGATCATATGATATTTTTATCAGGTTTTTTTTTATTAGGACTCAGTATTAGTCTAAGTCACGACACTCAATAAATGACATTTAAATGGCAAATTATGTAGTTTGTCGCAACAATATTGACACACTTCACATTTTGTCCCAAATACATCCACAAACATCAGTATATTATTTGGAGCGTTCCTGTGACAAATCATCACAAAATAATCCATTATTGTAAAGTGAAAAAAAAAACAGATTCACAGATAAGAGGAGAGAATCTGTTGACAACACAACTATCAGTCATGCACTCCACAAACCTGGATAATATATAAGAGTGACAGGTGTCACCTTTCTATTCCTCGCCATGGTAGGAAAGCATTGTAGCAAAAATGACTGAACACAAGAATTAAATTGGATGATTTACAATAAAGTTTAATCGTAAAAATAAACTGGAGTTTTTACCTTGTTGCTCTGTAAGTAAAGGGACAGTTCATTTGCTTGGTCCACCAGTGTGCTGTAAATAGTAAGAAACTTTTGATAAGAATAAAGACATAACTTGAAGCATTCAAAATCACAAATTATTTATGTGACGAGTAAAAACTTTGTACCCATGTTGAAGAAACTGAGGGATGCGTTTGTCTTCTGAGATGGGAGTCACTAGTCCAGGATTGAACAGAGTCACCAGCTCTGTTCAAGAAAAGGAGGAGAAAATGAATAAATAAAAACACAAAGGAGTTAAACATCAAAACTCTAACAATTCAGAATTTAAGCAACACCTCAGCATGTACGGTAAAGAACAGAGTTATAATATACAACATTTCAGTCTGTGAAAATTAAATGCCAAAGCACTGTTTTGTTTCAGGCAGTGTATGAAGTAGTAGTACAGTAATCCAGATTTTAAAAAGCTTTTATAGCAGTGGCAGCTGAATTAGTTCTGTGCTGTTTTGTTCCAGGAAGGCTGAATCTTGTCATGACAGCTGGTGCTGTCTGTCAGGTAGTGGAGACAGCACCAGCTCACAGCCCACCCAAAACCCCCGGCAACCACCTAAACCTGAGAAAATACAGGCAATGTGTGGATGTCTGATACTATCTCAGCTAATGTCAATATCAGTGCGGTAAAGATAGAAGGAACCATACCTGTGAGTTTTGATAAGACTGTGGACAGCTCAGTGCTGCAGAGGAGGACCAGAGAAGGAATTTCAGATCTTTCAATAGAGACTTTACTGCATTAAAAATCATGGTCTTTTCTCACCTTTCTTCATTAAGTCCAACATAGGAAAGCACTGCTACATCAGATGGTCTGACTGTGTCAGCTTGAGAAAAAAATATAAAGATATATTTGCTTATGTTTAAAATTACAGCAGAAATTGATAACATTCCTCTAAAGAAGGACTTCATTAATCAAATATTATGAAATATACAACTTTTTCCCATCACATTCATTTTCATCTCAAAAAGCAGCCACATTGATTTGCACTTAGATTAAAAAGAAAATTTACATCTGAAAATCCTTCTGTAAACCATAACACCATTAGAAAGAATAATCAAATGGATTCTGACTGATTTGTGATGACAGTCTCACCTGAAGTTGGTTTACTGTCAGAGGGAGCCAAGATGTTGCATGAAAAATCGCTTCCCCGATTCTGAGGAAAAGACACACATAATTAATATGCTTTTCCATTTGCAGTTTAAGAGAAGAAAACTGGATTACAAAAATATTGAAGTAAAAATTCACAAAAGACTTGATGTAAAGAAACAGAGAGCTGCAGAGGACAATGGCCTGCATTGCATCTCTATTTGTTGATCATTTATAACTTTTTCATTCAGTTGGAATATATGCGTTCATTAATTTTTAATAAAAATAACATTATAAACTTACAGTAATAGGATCAGTTTTGGAGGAGGGTGCAGAATAAGTGTAATCACTGTTCTTAGATGTCCGAATAAAGGGGGAATCCTGAAGAGAGAGAGAAAACTGTTCGTAAAAATGTCAGGACCATAAACTACATTTCAAAAACACTATTCAATTCAAAATGTACTTTTCTAATTTCAAAAGATTTAAATAAAATATTAACTTTCATACATTTGTTGAACATTTCAGGTCAAAAGCAGAATTAAAGTCCTGGCTGGAGGTTTTGCTTCCCACAGGTTCCAGCTATAAGGGGAAAAAAGGACAGTTGAGCAACATTTATGGATATTCATGATAAAATACATTACATCATTTTTACTATCATTATAAAAGTACAATGACATGTGGTTTATTCACCATGTTGTTCCAAAGAGAACGAGCCATCAGTGTTTGGGATTTCTGGCTGAGATGAAAGCAGTCAGCGCTGAAGTAAGAGCGATCTGGACGTCCATCCTAAGGAAGATTAATTAAATCAAATCAAATTTGAAATGCATTGATTTCCTTTTCATGTCTTAAACAATTCTACCTAAATGCTTTAAGAATTTCTGTTCAACATATGTTACAAATAGTTTTTAAAACTGAGACAAGGATATAAGAAGTATTGATGCCTTTTGCAGTGTTGTAGTACTCAAGATCGATCTTGGTCTCGAGACCATTTTTTGATGTTCTCTGTCTCAGACTCGACCGCATTGGTCTCGGTCTTGTCTCGGTCTCGGGTGCTGAGGACTCGGCATTTTATTTCAAGACCAGTCAAGACCGCAACTGTGGAAATCTCACTAAACGTACAGCATACTGTCCAGCTTGTTTGCTAACATCTTTGTTTTCACTGAATGCAAAACACACCGATTAAAATCCAAGCAATAACGTGACTTACCAAATACGTGTTTCTGTTACTCCCCCCACCCTTCACTCGCACGCGGCGCTCCAAGACATGCGCAGTGGTTTTCTTTGAGTGGCATAAGATGTCTGTCTAATCGTCAGTAATAGAATAGCGCTGCATAAATCATAAGAAATCTGATGGCAACAGCTAATTCAGCAGCGCTTCGCTTTCACAGACGGTGAGGACTACATCTAACTTTATTCACTTAGAAAAGAAGCTCAAAGAAAGGTAAGCTCCGTTGACATGATGTTAGCAAAGCTAGCTGTACAGAGACACAGCTAGCAATAATTCAGCGCATTGTACTGAATTATTGTGCGGAGGTGTTGACTAAGTGTCACATATATGGACAACACTGTGTCCAAAAGTCTGCAATATAGTGATGAGACATTCACGAACGATTCGAGTCTTCTGAACTTTTACTAAGAAGATAGGACTGGAGACTCACTGAAAGCCGTTCTTTGTTCTTGTGATGCTCTGCGTACACTGCAGTATCTATCATTATTTTATTTAATTATGTACATTGATATTTA